CATCCTAATAAAAACAAAACTAAGAGAACAAAACAACCGAGTCCTCCGAAAAGCAAAAAGGCTCACCACTGACTCTGGAGTGCTCAACTGGATCAACGGCGTGCTGGATGCTGATCCTGGGTACCTGCGTCTGCATTGTCATAAGATGCAGGCCAACTGGCATCAGTACATAGAATGTACGAGTATGCGAACTGGAAAGCTAAACCACAACTTAAGCTTGAAAAGAGTACAAGAGAACACTTACCTTGGCTCTATTCGACTCATGAATAACTGAACTCAATATATAAAGCAATAAGACACATGTAATATATATATATATAGCTTGTAAAACAATGTAAACAACTTAGCTCGTTAATGATAAAACAATAACAAACTCAACTTTTCTTATATAAAAGTAATATAACTTTAGTGGGAGATTCTTTAACCGACAACCACCACAATGAGCCCTAGTGATGATACAACGTTTTACCTCACATTGCCCAAGGACCATCCTATACCTTGCCATGATATAGGACCTTACTTTAACTTAGTGGATCCACTAGCTTAATCTTACGTGATCATCTAAAAAGAATGACCCGTCAAGTCCCATGTTGGCGCATGGTTCTTATGGAGAGTTGAGTTAATATGAACTCGTATCCCCAATTCGGTGCTCAATACTACTCCCAAAAATACTTTGGCTCATAAGTGTATTTAAACACATCTTGCTTTAGTTGAGGTAATTACTCAAAACTTAGCCCAAAGGCTCTTTTGGAAAACATGGTTCCCCTCTTACTCAAATGTAAAAACATTTATAAACTTCTTTGGGAATACTTAGTTCCCTAATAGCTTTTGAGAAATGAACTCAACTTTAAACTCTTGACTTAACTTGAAACTCGATACTCTTTACTTGACGTGAAACTTGAACCTTAAAACGAAATTAGAACGTTCAATAAAGACTCTTTAACGACTTTGAAAACTTGCTTTGACTCACTTCTTTAACTTCTAGACTTGACCCTTAACTTCACTTTGACTTGATCCTAACTCGCCTTGAATTGGATTACGGATTCAAGGTATATGATCACACGTTTATGGATGAGTTCTTGACATTTAAACGTACCTTGGAGTGTTGGAAACAACTAGGAAACATAGGTACAATACCAAGGAACATGCATGAGAAAGGGTGAAATGAATGGGGAAACTTGGCGTCCTTGGCGCTCTGCAAGGCGCGGAGCGCCAGCCCTCGAAGCTCAGAAGGGGCTTGCTGGCACTCTGCTAGGTGCGCCGCCCCAAAGGCTGGACTTCAGAGTCCTTTTTGGGGGGCGCTGGCAGGCGCGACGTGCCAGCCTCTTCGCCAAAAAATCTGACTTTTCTCCCTATTTTTCCCAACTCTAAACCACCCTAACTTCAAAGGTTTCAACCCCAAACACTAAGGATCATAAAATCCCTCAACATACAAGAGATTCAACTCAAATACACAACCAAATCATGGCCCAAATCAACAAGAACTTCCACAACACAATCAACAACATCAAGAACACAACCAACAACTTCAACAACACAACCAATCTTTTCTTGAAAATAAAACGTGTTTGGCGTGTGGGGGAAAGGGCCAACCCCAAAACTATGAATTCACATACCTAGTAGGGATCACCACCGAATATATCCACGACGATCTTTGACGAAATCTTACTTGAACTTCTCTTTCTCCTCTTCTTCTCCTCTTCTCTCAAAAGTGCTAACTCTCACTCTTTAAAATGGGAAAAACTGATCTAGAAATCAGTCTAACACACCAATATAACCAAAAGAATTGGTTAGGGAAAAGACTAAAATACCCTTTAAAATTTTCGGACTAAATTCCCTTCCAACTTCCCAACTTCCAAAGGGTATATCTCAATTATACGAACTCGGAATTGAGAAAACTTGGTGGTGTTGGAAAGATCATTCCAAGGGCTTCGCAACCATAACTGGAACTACACCTAACTCATTCTGAGCTAGGAGTTATGACTGCTCAAAGTTGGCCAAAAACCCACTTTTTCCCATAACCAAATTTTCCAAATTTTGAATTCCTTCCGAAATGACTATTTCCAATTCTAAGTCTCTTCATAGTTATTTCAAATTGTCGGATGTTACAAACAATATCAGCTGATTGCTCTATTACAACAAGAGTAACCTGGTAGGCTAACTACTCATCTTCCTCCTTCAGACTTGTAGAATTTGGAGGTACATAAAAGAATGGTGTAGTCTCTGAAAATACCACATCAGTTGATACTAAATATTTACCAAGTATTCTACTGATACCCCTTCTGAAGGTGAGAATAGCCCAAGAAAAGACACTTTAATGCTTTAGGATCCAACTTGGTAATAGATGGTCGAACATCTCGAACATAACATGTGCTTCCAAACACCTTAGGTTCCACTGGAAATAATGATTTGTTTGGAAAAAGAATATTATACGGCGTATTACCGACCAATACAGTTGATGGCATGCGATTGATCAAAAAACAAGCAGTAGAGATGGCATCAGCCCAAAATTGCTTAGGAACCTTCATTTGGAACAGCAGTGCCCGAGCTGTCTCAAGTAGATGCCTATTCTTTCTCTCGGCAACTCTTTTTTGAGAGGGTGTATCAACACATGAAGATTGATGGAGAATACCATGTTGTCTCATGTAAGACCTAAATAATTCTGACATATATTCTTTAGCATTATCACTCCTTAGAATACGCACTTTGGCATCAAATTGAGTTTTGACTTTAGCACAAAAGGCAAAAAAGTAAGTGAACACTTCAGATCTGCTCTTCATAAAGTATATCCAAGTCATTCGAGAAAAATCATCTACAAAGGTGACAAAATATTTATGCCCAGTTTTGGACAACAAGACATGGTCCCCAAACATCAAATGAACTAACTCAAAAGCTGACTCGACTCTCTTAGTAACCCTTGGACCTAAAAGAGATGTGATGGTGTTTTGCAAATTGGCATGACTCACATTCCAATGAGGAAATATTCTGAAATTGAGGGCAAAGCTTTTTCAACAAAGGTAACGAAGGATGTCCCAGTCGACAATGTGCCTCAAATGGAGACACGACACTAGAGCAGGCAATAGATAGAGAGTCCCACTCATCAAGGATATAAAGATCATCAGAAACATGTCCTTTACCAATAACTTGATTTGTTATAAGATCACGAAAGAAACAATAATCGGGAAAGAATGAGATATAACAATTAAGTTCTCTCGTAACTTTACTAACATAAATCAGATTAAATGCCAATTTTGGTAGACTTAGTACAAATGGTAGAGTAATAGACGAGGTTAGTTGAACAGTACCCAATCCAATGCTATTACAAATTGATCCATCAGCTACAGTAATAGGAGAGGCTGTTTTGTGTGATCTAAAGCTAGAAAAAATATTAGGATTCCCTGTCATATGATTTGTAGCACTTGAATTGATTACCCAATTATTAGAAGAGCTGATAAGACATGTTTTATCTGACCTAACAAAGGAATTAACAGAAGCAGATTCCTTCAAAGATTTCTATTATTGAGAAAATTTGGCAAACTCCTCAACCGAAACCAAAACCATTTTGTCGGATAATGAACGTGAAGCAGCAACTTTTAACAGATCTGTCATTTTACCAACTATATTTGAAAGTGTTTCAAAATCCCCAAACAAACAAACAACAGCCTAATAACACAATAAAAAAGAAACTGACAGCAGCCAAACTCGATGGTCCTCTGGAAATAATTTCCCAAATAAGCTTCAAATAGCCTCCAACAAACAATATCAACTCACAAGTTGGTCAAGCAACAATTCCACTGCTGCACTCATACACAATTTCCATAATCAAGTATAATTAGCAACAAACAGAGAAGTCTCAAACCTGACCAAAGAGGGTCCACAGATTATGTTTGGAGGGTTTTCTTCTCGGAAAAATTGGTCCTATAATTAGGGGATCACCACCAATCAACCAGAAATGACAAGCCGATGCTAGAAAAGAAAGCCGGACCAAGCTTGGTCCACTCACTCGTGGCAGAAACTAAATTCAAGCTCACTAATTTCATTCACGGACACTGACCGGATTTCGGCAAGCTCCGATGAGCTTTCTGACTGACAAAGAACATACAATGCTCTGATACCATGTAAAATATAGAGACAATGTACCAATCTCCTTGTTCTATTATTCCAAGAATAAGATCTATTTGTAGGTGTACATGTAAATCTATCTAAGGAAATAAAATCAGAAAATATCCCTAAATATCTCTATGATCCCCAAAGATCTCTACCTATAATTATGTTATGAGTAGATATGACTATGTACATTTTGTAATATAAACTAATAAAAAGAATGGTATTGGTCAATAACATGCTAACTTTTTCATATTTCGGATGAATATAGGCAATTTAAAGATTAATAAATAGTTATGTAACTTAATGAAATCCTATTAAATATTAAATAATTGTTAGATATTGCCAAACCTTTTGTTTTCCATCATTTAGTATCAATCAACACAATAATATGATATTTGAAGAAATTTTGAGTGTGGTGAGTGGCAAGGTTGAGAAGACTTGACTATTGACATTCTTTAGTCTAAACCCAAAAACACATAAAAATCTATCTTGCTTTATTTCAAATCACTCTCTTCCACACAAATGAAAAATATAGACAGACTTTTGAGTGTTGTGAGACTTGACTATTGAGGTCTTACATTGCTATCATTAAATGCATGTTCTAACATCATTCCTTTGCATTATCAATTCTGAGAAACCTTCTTGGCTTAATTATGGGCAAAAGTTTCATCCTTCTCTTTTTTCTTGCAATTTTCATTCTACCACATGACAATACATTACTTGCTAATATTAGCACTGACGAGGCTGCTCTTCTTGCACTTAAATCACATATTTATTCTGATATTAACAATATCATAGCAAGCAACTGGTCTTCTTCCACCCCAGTTTGCAGCTGGATCGGAATCACTTGCAGCTCCCGTCACCATCGAGTCACTGCTTTAGACATTTCGAGCATGCAACTTTATGGTACCATTCCTCCACACCTTGGAAACCTCTCATTTATTTCATCAGTTGACATCAGTAACAACACTTTCCATGGAGATTTGCCAGTAGAGTTGGCTCATTTGCACAGGTTGAAATTCATTAATGCCAAAAACAATAACTTTACCGGAGCCATTCCATCATTTTTAAGTTTGTTACCAAACCTACGCTCTTTGTACCTATCGAATAACCAATTTTCGGGGAAAATTCCAACTTCCCTTTCCAATCTAACAAAACTGGAAGTGTTGCAATTACAGAGCAATTTTCTTGAAGGAGAGATCCCTCGAGAAATTGGTGATCTTCGTTACTTGACTGTCCTAGACCTGCAACTTAGTCAGCTTACTGGCTCTATACCACCATCAATCTTTAACATTACTACAATGCAAGTGATTGCTCTTAGCGGCAACAATCTTACTGGAAAGCTTCCAATAACTATATGTGATCATCTTCCAGACTTGGAAGGACTTTACCTCGGTAGAAACTCCCTAGAAGGAGTTATTCCACCAAACCTGGAGGAATGCAGAAAGCTTCAACAATTGGTATTGTCATTCAATGAGTTTGCTGGAACTGTACCAAGAGAGCTTGCCAACTTAACAGATCTTACAAAATTAGCCATGACAGCTCTGCATTTGGAAGGTAGTGTAAAATTTTCTTCCTTCTCTTTTCCCCCAAGCTTGTACTCATATATTTCCCGAAAATTGACAGGAGAGATACCAATGGAGCTAGGTAATCTTAAGAAACTTCAAGCATTGGGATTATCACAGAATGAGCTTACAGGCTCTATCCCTGACATCATTTTCAACATGTCAGCACTGCAGATTATAGATTTTGGACTAAACAAGCTTTCAGGTACTCTACCTTCAGATTTAGGTCGTGGAATTCCCAATATAGAAGAACTCTTTTGTGGAGGAAATAATCTGAGTGGTTTTATCTCTGCTTCAATCTCAAATTCTTCAAGACTCACAATGTTAGACCTCTCCAACAACAGTTTCACAGGTCTCATTCCTAAATCACTTGGTAACTTAGAATACCTTGAGGTTCTGAACTTGTGGGGGAATAATTTTGTCAGCGATTCAACATTGAGCTTCCTTGCATCATTGACAAACTGTAGGAATCTAAGATTACTCACGTTATCTGGTAATCCGTTGGATGGTGTTTTGCCTGCATCTGTTGGCAATTTCTCCAACGCCTTGCAAACTTTTGAAGTACAAGGTTGTAAATTGAAGGGCGTCATTCCACAAGAAATCGGTAATCTTACTGAAGTGACAAGGATGATTCTGGTTAACAATGAGTTAACTGGACATATTCCAAATACTGTGCATGGCATGTCGATCCTTCAAGAACTTTACCTATATGACAACAAGATAGAAGGAACCATACCAGATGTTATTTGCAACTTAAAGAATCTAGGTGCATTAGTATTGTCAGAAAACCATTTTTCTGGTTCAGTGCCCTCATGCTTAGGTAACATGACCAGTCTGAGGAAACTTTATCTAGATAACAACAAACTGGATTCTAGATTACCTTCAAGCTTAGGGAACCTTCAAGATCTCATAGAATTCGATGTTTCATCCAATTTATTGAGTGGGGAAATTCCGCTGGAGAGTGGAAACTTGAAGGCTGCAACACGCATTGATCTGTCAAATAATTCTTTTTCTGGTAAGATTCCTAGTACTCTAGGGAGTCTAGATAAATTGATTAATCTTTCTCTAGCACATAATAGATTAGAGGGGCCTATTCCTGAATCATTTGGCAAAATGTTATCCTTGGAATACTTGGATTTGTCCTATAACAATCTTAGTGATGAAATTCCAAAGTCATTAGAAGCTCTTGTGTATCTCAAACACATGAATTTCTCATTCAATAAACTCAGTGGAGAAATTCCCACAAGTGGTCCCTTTGCAAATGTCACCAGTCAATCTTTCTTGTCCAATGATGCACTTTGTGGTGACTCCCGATTTAACGTAAAACCATGCCTAACCAAATCTACAAAGAAGTCAACAAGAAAACGAGTGCTTACAGGTTTATATATTCTATTAGGGATTGGATCACTCTTCATGTTGGCTGTTGGATTTGTGGTGTTAAGATTGAGAAACACAAAGAAGAGTGCAAGCCAAAAAGATGTGTCTCTCGTAAAAGGGCATGAAAGAATTTCATATTATGAACTTGAACAGGCAACTGAAGGATTCAACGAAGCCAACTTGCTTGGTAATGGGAGTTTCAGCATGGTTTATAAAGGGATACTTAAGGATGGTATCATTTTTGCAGCAAAGGTATTCAATGTGCAATTGGAGGGTGCATTCAAAAGTTTTGACACGGAATGTGAGATACTCCGTAACCTTCGCCACAGAAATCTGACCAAAGTCATAACCAGCTGCTCCAATCTTGATTTCAAGGCCCTAGTGTTGGAATACATGCCCAACGGGACACTTGATAAATGGTTATACTCTCACAACTTGTTCTTGAACTTATTGCAGAGACTGGATATAATGATAGATGTTGCATCTGCAGTGGACTATCTCCACAATGGCTATTCAACGTCTGTGGTGCATTGTGACTTGAAGCCAAGCAATGTCTTGCTCGATGAAGAAATGGTTGCTCATGTAAGTGATTTTGGCATTGCAAAAATGTTAGGTGCAGGGGAGGCTTTTGTGCAAACAAGGACAATTGCAACCATTGGATATATTGCTCCAGGTATATTAAAACTTTTTAAAGTTCTCATATCATATAAATAAAAACAATTCCTTCCCCTAGGTATAAATTGATTTATGATCATTTTCGACCATGATTGCAGAGTATGGACAAGATGGCATAGTATCCATGAGTTGTGATGTTTATAGTTTTGGCATCCTGATGATGGAGACCTTCACACGAATAAGACCAAGTGATGAAATATTTACTGGAGGCTTGAGCATACAACGTTGGATTAGTGATTCCTTTCCGGGTGAACTTCACAAGGTGGTGGATTCTAATTTGGTACAGCCAGGAGATGAACAAATCGCTGCAAAGATGCAATGTTTGTTATCTATCATGGAATTAGCTTTGAACTGCACTTTAGTGAGACCTGATGCAAGAATTAGCATGAAAGATGCTCTTTCAACACTTAGAAAGATCAGGCTTCAAGTTTGTTAGTAGTTGGCACTAGGTGGAATCAGACCAGCCTGCTCTTGTATGTTATTTAGTTACCAGTCTGCTCTCTTATGTAATTCAATTTCACACAAGTGTATTTTATCTTGGTTGTTGGAAGCAACTCAGTTCTTGATATATGGAAGTTGAAAATGAGATTTAACATGCTCAACACAAGATTTTCTTTTCGTATTTACATAACTTCGAGAATCCTTCCAATTATCAACACTGAATAACACAGAACACGACAAATACTTGTGGAACGATTCATGCCTAGGTTTTAGGTAAATCCTTTGCTCCCACCAGAAGTCAGAAAGTGCACCTCTCAACAGTTGCTAAAAAACTATTTCCATTGAGAGTCCAAACATAAAAGTAGATCTAGTCTCGATTCAATAATTCCATTAAACCTTGAGCATGAGGATCCTGATAAATGAAAATTCTTTTCCAAGGTTGTCTTGAGAAACTACAACATCTGGCATTATCCCGAAATGAGCTTACTGGTTCAGATTTAGGTCATGGAATGCCCATCCTAAAAGAACTTTATTGTGCACAAAATAATCTAAGTGGTTTTTTCTCGGCTTCAATCTCAAATTCTTCGAAACTTAGACTACTTGATCTCTCAATAAACAGTTTCACAGGTCCAATACCTGAATCACTTGGTGACTTAAAATACCTTGAGCATCCCTTACATCATTGACAAACTGTAGGAATCTAAGAGTACTCATGTTTGGTGGTAATCAATTGGATAGTATTTTTCCTACCTCAGTAAGTAATTTCTCCAACTCATTGAAATTTTTTGAAGCACCAGCTTGTAAACTGAAGGGCGTCATTCCAAAAGAAATTGGTAATCGTACTGGAGTGATACATATGAGTCTGCAATACAATGAGTTGTCAGGAAATCAATTTTCAGGTTCCGTGCCACCATGCTTAGGAAACGTTACCAGTTTGAGGTATCTTTATATAGGTTACAACATGCTGAATTCAATATTACCTGAAAGCTTGGGAGGCCTTCGCGATCTCATAGAATTCAATATTTCATCCAATTTATTAAGTGGGAAAATACCCCTTGAGATTGGAAATTTAAAAGGCTGCAACGCTCATTGATCTGTCACAAAATAATTTTTCTGGTAAATTGATTAATCTTTCTCTGGCACATAATCGACTAGATGGGCCTATTCCAAATTCATTTGACAAACTGTTGGCAATAAAAGGGAAGTACAAAGTACCACTTTGTGATACAAAAACTGGTAGATATACTCTAAGTTGTGCTGTTAGTAGGATAATTGAAAAATGAAAATGCCCTCAAAGTTCTTATGAGCGTCTCAGAAGAAGGAAAAAAGAGAAATATACCATGCTCGAGCTCGGTTCTACTGTAATAAAGCTCGATTGAATTCAGACAAATTTACAACATAGGCAGGCAAAAATAACAAGTTATTAGGTTGTCAATTTCATACTGATGCAACTTCTAAAATTTTATGACTGGATACCGTGCAAAAAAAAAAGACTCGCATCATGTATACATCATAACACGCAAAATGTGGTAAGCAAAAAAAAAAAAAATCCATCCTGACAACGTTTAGAAATGAATAAGTGCATTCAAATTGAAGTAGAGACAACTTAACTGCACCAATCTAGTATAAAATAAGCTCTCTCGCCCCCGCCCCCGCCCCCCCCCCTCCTCCCCGTCCCCCATGAGGGCAGGGAACTTTCCGTAAGTTGCCCATTTCCGAGTTGCAGCAACTGATTATTTTCATCAAAAAGCTTTTACTTCTTTTAATTGACTATGTCAAGGTCTGATTGTTCCATGAGTAGTAGAATTCTTCATATACATCAAACGATCACTGAAAGCTGTAAACATATTTAGTTTTAGTTGCAGGTTGAGTCTCCTAGGCGGACAACTCCATAACAAAGCATCCACAAAGGAAGAGCACTCCATATACTGAAATAGAACGTTCACTTCTAAAACATCCACCTGGGTGGTAGCACCAACTCTGTAGTGTTGTTGCAGATGTTCCATTTAGTAATCAGATGGAAGAAGATGTCTTATTCCAATAGGTAAGCAATGTATAAATACAATAGATTGTGTGCTAACTTAGGAAAGAAATAAAAGATGATTCCTGTGAATCTGCTAATTCCTACAAATCTTCTATCTAAATAAGGCTATGTATTCTACTAGGAATCAAGTCTATATACATTCTATAACACATTTTAATCTCAGTGAATTCTTCAAAACGAATCGAAACTTGAGACCAAGAGGCCGGCGACTTTGATAGAAACTTTCTCAACTTACAAAACCAGTCAGCATTTATATTGTCTAAGCTGTAAAGAGAGATTTTTGAGTGCTCCAACTGTCTTGCAATTTTAGATTCAGGAATTTGCTTCCCCGTGTACTCAAATGACACCAAATTTTGAGCATCAATCTCCAATATGCCCTTTCTATACCAAATCTTCAAGACCTTAAGGTAAACTGACTTGATCTTTTGAAGATACGCCGTTTCCAAGCCAATACGATTCTCAGAGATGAAAGTGTCAATCAAGGGACAACTATTGAGTATAGTCTGACGCATGTTTTTGTTTAATTCTACATGAGACAGAGAAAGCTTTCTCAAAGAATTTTGATTCACAACACTACTAGCTAACGAAAGAGTATAATACGCAAGAACCAATTTTCTTAAAGATTTTGCTGCCAAGATTGTTAAAAATAGGCGTGGGGTATGATATACGGTCAAGGACAAGATGTTTTACACCATTTTGAAGTGCAATGTCAAGACAGTTATCAATAGGAATGGGAGGTAAAACTTTGTGACCATAAGAGTTGCTCTCTGATAATTCAAACTTTTTTATCGGGACTTTTCCGTCCCTATATCTCTCCATGATTGTGTCGACTATCTTTATATTGCATTTGACACTATGAAGACAGAATTCCAAGCCGGGAAGAGTCGACGATGCTTGCAGCCATGTTTTGGAGAGAATGCTCATCTTGGATGCTTCTTTATAACTAAGAAAACAGAGTATTGTTTGAATGAGACATTCAGGCAATATGTCAGCCATGATATGGTGGTTGTGAAGGATCACAATCCTAATTTCACTTTTCTCAGAGCTACTTGTGAGATCTGTACCAGGGATGTTATCAGCTGATTTGTCACATCGATTCTTCGAAAAAACAAAATATAACCACCTGAAATTACAATTTCATGATGAACATTAAGGCTTTAATACATGATAAGTCTACTATCAACCAGTAAACAAAAATGGTACTTTAATTTAAATTTTTAAAAGAGAAGAGAAGAAAACCACAGCGGACAAGTTATCAAGAGACTAACTAACAGCTCCAGAACTTGCTAACTGTACTGTCACTTGGTGGAAGGAAGATATACAAGGAACTATGCATGTTAAAACAAAAGAATATTTTTTACATACAGGTAACAGTGATTTCTTCAAGAGTTCACTAATCAGCATCAGCCACAAAAACGCCTCTGATCTCCTAAACCCCATAATATTCTGTCCAGGCCCAGTGTTTTGTGTTCCCCAACCAGCACCAAAATTCTCGAATCTTTGGGGACCAGAATGTTTGTGTTGCTTCGCCTGAGAAGAGCTATCATGCTCTGCCCTCGACCCTTATCAGCAGCTGTTGAAGACCCAGGAAGCAAGCTAGCACCACCACACATCACCATCTTGGTTATCTATAGGCGATAATTCTACAGACAATGGTAAATGATGAATGGCGAGTCGGGACCCACTGCCGATCCTAGAAATTGTGTTTCCATTGATTTCAAGTTGTATGCCATAAGCCTTAATATGATTCCTTATGTTCACTTTTCTCATTACTCTTTTTCATCTCTTTTTTTCTAGTTTTCATTAGAGTTTACACTAATGTAAAACAATCAACCAACTGAGGTAATTCAAGATTTTTCCTATAAACAAAAGTAGGCACAATGCCAACCTACTACAATCATGCGATTGGTTCTCGAAGTCCTTTTTTAGGAAGGATTGTGTTCCCACTCCAATAGATATATAGAGATCTTCGACATAGTTGTCTTTATGGTTGAAATGGTCCAAAATTTGACACTGAAGTATAGAGAGCATAGTCCTCTTTGTGCTTAAATTGATCCAGGAGAAAAGTTATTGAAAGCCACCTCAAGATGAAAAGATATATATATATAGACAACATATCAAAAGCAGCAACAACAACAAAAAAAAAAGAAATTGTGAGAAATCAATGGGAAAAATATTATTGCATTGTTGTTATAATAATTACATAGAGAACCCTATTTATAAAAACTATATAATACAATTCCTTACCAAATAGGAGACTATAAACTATTCCTATTTTGTGTAGGATTGTGTATAGCTATTCTATTCTAACACTCCCCTCAAACTGGTGCATACAAATTATATGTACCTAGTTTGTTACAAATGTAATTAATACGAGGACCGGTGAGGGACTTGGTGAAGATATCTGCAAGTTGATCATTTGACTTCACAAATTTGGTAACAATATCTTCTGAGATTATCTTTTCTCTTACAAAGTGACAATCAATCTCAATGTGCTTAGTCCTCTCATGAAACACTGGATTTGATGCGATATGAAGGGCCGCTTGATTATCATACACAAGTTCCATATGACCGGCTTCTCCAAACTTTAGTTCTCCAAACAATTGTTTGATCCAAACTAGCTCACAAGTTGCTACAGCCATTGCTCGATATTTTGCTTCTGCACTGGATCGAGCAACAACACTTTGTTTCTTACTCTTCCATGACACCAAATTACCTCCTACTAAAATACAATATCCGGATGTAGAACGTCTATCAAAGGGTGATCTTGCCCAATCAACGTTTGTATATCTAGTGATATGCTCATGGCCTTGATCCTCGAAGAGTAGTCCTTTACCAGGAGTTGACTTTATATATCACAGAATACAAACAACTGCATCCCAATGACTATCACAAGGAGAAGTAATAAATTGACTTACAATACTCACAGGAAAAGCGATGTCTGGTCTAGTCACCGTGACATAATTCAACTTTCCAACCAACCATCTATACTTTTCAAGATTCCTGAGTGGCTCCCCTTGTCCTGGAAGGAGTTTAACATTCAGATCCATAGAAGTGTCAATGGGTTACATCCCATCATTCTTGTCTCCTCAAGAATGTCTAAAGCATACTTGCGTTGAGAAATAACAATATCTAATCTAGACTAAGTAACCTCAATACCTAAAAAATACTTCAGTCTGCCGAGGTCTTTAGTTTGGAAATGCTGAAAGAGATACTACTTCAAATTAGCGATACCAACTTGATCATTGCCGGTGATAACGTTATCATCAACGTAAACAACCAAATAAATACACATATTTGGTGATGAATGCCGATAAAACACAGAGTGATCAGCGCCACTACGAGTCATGTCAAACTTCTGAATTACTGTGTTGAACTTTCCAAACCAAGCTCGAGGAGATTGTTTCAGACAATAGAGTGACTGACTCAATCGACATACAAGGCTTCTAGACTCCCCTGAGCAACAAAACCAGGTAGTTGCTCCATATAGACTTCGTCCTCAAGATTACCATGCAGAAAAAGCATTCTTAATGTCTAACTGATGAAGAGGCCAATGACGAACAACAGCCATAGATAGAAAAAAATGAACTGATGTTATTTTGGTCACAGGAGCAAAAGTGTCACTATAATCTAGCCCAACTATCTGAGTATACCCTTTGGCAACAAGGCGAGCCTTGAACCGATCAATTTGACCATCTGGACCAATTTTGACGGCATAAACCCAAAGACAACTAACAGTAGACTTACCTGTAGGAAGGTTGACAAGCTCCCAAGTACCACTCGAATGTAAAGAAGACATCTCATCAATCATATCCTGCCTCTATCCAGAATGAGAAAGTGTTTCTCATGTAGTCTTAGAGATGGAAATAGAGGACAAATATGATACAAAGGCATAATAGGGAGAAGATAAATGATGATAACTCAAGAAAGTATAATGTGTATTAGTATTTCGAGTAGATCGTATACCTTTTGGAAGTGTAATCGATTGGCTAGCAGGACGCAAGGCAGCAGTGAGAGCAGGGTCCGGCGCATGACATGAATCATTTGAGACTATTGCTGGACGTGGACGCCGATGATAAGTTAGAAGTGGTCGCACTACAACTAGAGATGGAGAAGTAACCGTAGGTCCCTCAAAAGTCGGTACAGGCAAGACCTGAGGTATGGGTAAGACCTCAGAGATGTCAGGATGATCAGAAGATGTGTAGTAAGGTTGAGATTCAAAGAATGTTACAGCGGCAGATATAAGATATTGATGGAGATCATGTGAATAGCAACGATACCCTTTTTGAACTCGAGAGTAACCAAGGAAGACACATTTAAGAGCACGAAGGGCTAATTTATCTTTTCCTGGGGATACGTTATGAACAAAGCATGTGCTCCCAAATACATAAGGAAGGATAGAATAGAGATGTGACTGAGGATATGGTATGGAATGTGGAACCTGATTCTGAATAGAAGATGAGGGCATTCTATTAATTAACTAACAAGATGAAAGTACTGCATCTCCCCAAAAACGCAGCGGAACATAGGATTCAATGAGGAAAGTGCGAGCAGTCTCAATGAGATGCCTATTCTTCCTTTCTGCTACACCATTTTGTTGAGGAGTGTATGGACAAGATGTTTGGTAAATAATTCTTGGTGAGACATAAACTCCTGAAACTGGGATGATAAGTATTATAAGGCATTATCACTACGAAAAATACAAATAGAAACACAATACTGATTTTGCATTTCAGCAAAGAAACTTTTGAATATAGAAAATAACTCAGAACGATCTTTCATTAAGAAAACCCAAGTGCATCTCGAATAATCATCAATGAAACTAACAAAATAACGAAATCCTAAGGTTGAACTGACTCTATTAGGACCCCAAACATCAGAATGAGCTAATGAAAAAATAGACTCTGAATGACCCTCAGTACCACGTGAAAATGTGGCACGAGTGTGTTTCCCAAGTTGACACGACTCACAATCAAATTTGGATAAATTAGATAAACTAGGCACCGTTTGTTGCAGTTTAGATAGACTCGGATGTCCCAAATGTTTATGAATGAGGTCTGGAGGATCTGTAACAGAGCATGTTGTGAAGGAATTTGAAGAGGTAAGATAGTAAAGGCCTTGTGATTCATGTCTTGTGCCAATCGTCTGTCTCATACTGCAGTCCTGCATAAGAAAAAAATCATCAAAAAAGGATGTAGGGCACGTGTCAAATGACTAACAGATGCCAGATTAAAAGAAGAACCAGGGACATAAAGAACAGAGTCTAGAGTGACAGAAGATAGGGGTGTGGCTTTTCCAACCCCTTTTGGTTTTGTTTGTATCCCATTGGCCAAAGTAATAGCAGGAATAGATTGTGAATAAGCAATATCTGACATAAGTGATTTGTTACCAGAAATATGATCAGAAGCGCTCGAGTCCATAACCCATGATCCATGAGTATTAGACTGTGAAACACAAGCAAAAGAATTACAGGTAACCGCAACATCATGTTGAGCAACCGAAGCTACTTGTGGAGACGTTTGGTTACTTGCTCGATATTGAAAGAACTCATCATATTCTGATTGAGCAATATGAGAATTATGGGATGGTCGATCAGACGGAGCAACAAATGCTTCTTGTGAAGATGTCTGCTTACTTGCACGATTACGAAGGAACTCATTATATTCCTTTAGAGCAGCAAGATCATAACTGGGTGGTGGATCATGTAAATTATGACATATGTCACGAGTGTGTCCAGACTTATAACAATAACTACACTTGGATCGAGGTTTTCCAAAATGACCTCTTTTTTATCGATTCCCCATAGATTGATATGCTCGTTTTTCTATGGTTTGAGATGTGAGAGTAGATGAGTCAATGGTAGGTGATAAACTACTTTGTGGTTGGGAGGCATGGCAAGACGAAGTAGACGAGAGAATAATTCATCAATTGCAGGAATTGTAGGAATTGTAAGAATTGTAGGACTAGCTAAAATCAGATCACGCACTGAATCATGG